TTTTTTTTTTCAGTTTTATTAAAACAGAATACTATTAGTAAGTCTTGAGTAGGTAAAAAAAATAAAAAAAAAAAAAAAATATATATATATATATATGGATTTAAATATTGGCTTGGCAGTCTGCTGGCTGCTCTAAATATATGACCAAATTATTCCGTACGCTGTCTCAAGCACTGGTTCAGCCAATGCAAAGGCAGTGATAGGTACGCAGTTGACTGTAAGGTTTGCCCCTACCTGAGTACGCTGCTTCCCATTACATTAGGGTGATTGATGGACGAAGCTTGGTGCCCCTACTGCAAGGAAGAGCTCAAAAGTCAGAGCATGAGTTCCTGTTTCACTATTGTGGGTCCTACTTGCATGCAGTGCGGTGGCACCAAAAGGACAGTAAGTATAAATATTGGTTCCATGGTAACTGTAAAACATGAGTTTTCTCTTCTTGATAGCTATCTTGCTAATTGACAAAATTATTGCATGATGAGTGCTTATCAGTACTGATCTCTGAGATTTCTGAAATTGTTGCGCATAACATAGCAGTTATTCTGGCTAGCTGGACATGTCTTACAGCAAAGAAACATTTGTAAGTAACAAACCTATAGGAAGTGGGGTGGAAATACAGGCTGTCTACTACCGCACTGGAAATTTAATGTGGTTTTCTTCATATTTCTAGTGTTTTCCATCTTCAAGGTTGGTACTCCACACAGAGAATCTGATTTATGGTGATGGGGGTGCCAGGGTGTGTGAGAAGAGGTCTCCTTAGTAAACAGCTCTACTCCTATTGCTTGAAGGCTTATTCCGTTTTTATCTGCTGTCTTGTGGTTGTGCCATAAGATTTCTTTCCTGCCAGGTGGAGCCATCTGGAAGGCTCATTATGTGACCCCTGTCTTCCATCCACCTGAGGCTGGGGCTTGTTATGGAAAAGGAATTTGCCCATGTTTTGGGGAAGGCGTGACCCATCATGACCCTCCGTTGTTGTTTGATCTCTCGCGAGACCCTTCTGAAGCCAAACCTCTGTCAGCTGACACGGAGCCCCTCTTTGACATTGTAATAAGGAAGATTGGAAGAGCCATAGAAGAGCATCAGAGGACACTGACTCCTGTCCCAGAGCAGCTCTCTGTGTACAACATCGTGTGGAAGCCGTGGCTGCAGCCATGCTGTGGGACATTCCCACTCTGTTGGTGTGATAAGGAAGGAGACAGCACACAAAGTTTGTGAGATGGATGCTTACTAGCATGTCCTGTGGCACTGAGTCCTCTGCTGACAAAGCTTTCAGAAAATAACTGTGTCCTTCCTCTCTCTGGAAAGCAAAATGGATGAAAATAAAGAAAAAGAGTCTTGATCAGAGATATTTTTCCCTTCATTCTTCACCACTATCCAAAAATCTAAGGAAATCCTGTCTTGTGTGGTAAATGGCTTGAATGGAGACTGGTTTTGCACATTTGACTGTAAGAGAGGGCTATATAGGCCTAGACTCTGCCTAATTTATGCCTACTCAAGGAAAGCAGTCAGAGAACACTGTAGAGACTGTAGCATATGGTGCTGAACCGGCAGCAGTAAGAAATATCAGACTTAAGCAGAACTCAAGATGTTCACAGTTGTGCCTCTACAGTCCACAAATCATGGTCATAGTCTATCCAAACATAGTCATTTCTGTCATTGTTGCTTCCTGTATTTCTCTCTTATTTCTGCAGTAATCTTGTGGGGATGTTGGGCAACACCTGAGACAGAGTGAGTCTGATTTAGTGAGAGATTGTCCTCAAGTTGTGAATAGCTTTTTGAACAGATCTGCAGCTTTAGCTGGGTAACAATAACACGTCACAGTGCAAAGTACAAAACGTTGAAGTCCAGTATAACTCTGCAACAGTTACAAAAGAGGGAGAAGCATTTTGCTTTTCAGAAAGAGGTACTTGTGTGTGTTAATTTGGCAAACTAATTTTATTGCACATAAGATGCCAATAAAAATGTTTTGGATTAATAGCTCTGTACAAATAAGGTTCATTTGAGTCATATTGGAATTAATGCTCAAAAATATTTGGTAGCAGTATACATAGGCTTCCAAACTACAACTTGTAAAAAGGGGTCTTGCCAATACCAGTTTAAAAAAAAAAAAAACCAAAAAAAACCCACAACACCTCCCATGACACCAGCCCCCTAAAAAAACCCACAAACTATGAACAACCAAACTAAACAAAAAATACTGTAGTGGTGTGGCCCTAGCCAGACTTTCTAAGGAGATGTTAATTTGCACTGAAGTTTGCAGTGAAATTGCAGAGATTTTAGGGCATTGAATTGTATTAATGACTGGGTTTTTTGCAGGTTGAAGTCAGAGGTTATTATAAGCTGCTGCTAGAACTCTAAAGAAGTTGGGGGTTGAATTGAGTGAATGGAAACAGATTATTTTAGTTTGGTTTTTGTTGACAGTCTGTGTCCCAGTCCCCCCTCAGCCCCCAAGGAATACCCCTGAAAATGTTTTACTTGCTCAGCCAGTTTATCTGATTAATAATTTTCTTTTTATATCTTAGTCTCTTTTTCGTAAGTGTTATATAGAAACAAATTTCTGTTTGTGTCACTTAAATATTTGTTCTTGACTACTATAAGTCCACTCTGAAAACTTGTCAAAGGTATAGGGAGTCTATAAATGCCAGTGTTTCTTTTAGTACTTAGACATGTGCAAAAAGCCAGATAGAAAGTGGCAGTACAAAGCACACAATGACTCAAAAATGGAGTTTTTCTGGCAGAGAATTTGCCTGTATGCAGCAGTGAGTAAAAAGCAGCTTCCTGTGCTCAGGCACAGTGGAAAAACAGCGTAAGAGGAGGAAACACTGCAGGGCTCAAAACGCAGAGATAAACATCTTCTGTCTGCTTCATTGTTACAAAGCTCTATTTTTTCTAAAAAAAAAAAAAACAAAAACCACACTTTTTTTTTTTTTAAAGTTTAGTTCTGTTGAAGATAATAAATAATCACAGCTGTTACCTTTGTACTAGGTCACTAACGTAGTAGTGAGAAACAGGATGCACGGTCTGTGCTAGCAGAATGCCTCCTCTACTTCCAAACAGAGTTTTGTTATCAGGGAAGAATGTAAAGGTGTGGAGGTTTTGGGTTGATTGGGTTGGTTTTGGTTGGTTGGTTTTTAGGACATGCCAGCAGCAGCATGGGCACGTCTTCAGTAGCAATCACATGGTGAGAAAGATCTAGAGTCTAGAAAGGATGACAGAAAAGTTTAGTCATAATTTGGATCAAAGACAAATGGAAATTAATACTTATGTTACTGGCAACTTTTAGAGATCCTTCTTTCCCAGGGCATGATGTAATTTTTGAGGAATACAATTTTTTCAAGAAAAATCTTTGCACCGTAAGCATTACGAGCTGTTAAGTAATCATACAAAATAGACCAACTTGAAAACTTATATCTTATAAAAATAACTGAGTATAGTCATGAGTGAAAGGAGGTCAACAAATAAAAAATGTTTCCAGTCATGACTGTCCCTGCTGTGTATTATACAAATCTGATAGTTTAAGCTACTTGATCTTTCTACCCACTGACTCCTACTGACTTCTCTAGAGCACAGTGTTAAATTCAGCATTCACTGTACTCAGGGAACTCAGAGAACTGAAATGTCAACAAATGAATAGATGAGAGCTCCTCTAAGTAATTGCTTAAGACCTTTTGAAGTGTAAAGTGTATGATAACAGAATTAAATTCTGAAAGAAGTGTTAGTGGAGGGGAGAATATTAAAGTTCCAGTTCTCGGAGGTGGGGGAAGAAAGCGCGGTTAGTATCTTCAGCACAGGTAGGTCTACCTTGCCTGAAAATGCATTGAAGAAAAGAAAACATCACAGAAGAAAAGAGGGAATACAAGCTAGTCACGTTATCCTGCCTGGAAGGCTGAACAGTAGGGTGGGAGCAACAAAACCCCATGGCTCAGGGTGCTGTGTTATTACTTACAGCATCTCTTTTGAGGCACTCAAGTAGAACAGTGAGAGGCTTTCTAACAAATCTGCAGAGAATTAAGTGGATAGAGAATCTAATGAAGGCAGTCGCCATGTTGTGCCAGTATTTCAAGAAGAAGGACTTTGTACTCTGCCTGGAATTCATGTAAAACCTGCGTGGCAGTTCCCGTTTGCTGGAGGTTGCTGGCAGGGATCCCAGGCGGTTTTTGAACTGGAGACTGGGGGAAGGGAGAGTAAGAGGAAAAGGAGCAAGTTCCAGCCTGCTTCCTCCATCGCATGTCTTAAAAGATCAGGACTGCTCAGCACACCAAGGAGCAAGAGGAAGTTCAGAGAAAGAATAATATTTGAGATGAGGGTTTGTTTTTCACATTGTTAAAAGGGGTTGGCCTTTTTTGCTAGTCTTGATCATTTATTGTGGTGTACTGGCTTACAGAGGGAAATACTATTGGACATTTTCTCAGAATTCTGTAAGTAACTTCTGATTTCTAGAGGCTGATGTTAAATTTATGGATTAAGTAATTTTATTTTTTTTTTCATTCAGCAGCTAAGGAAACTGGACAAGCCCTAGGGCCCAGTACTGGATTCATGACACTCCTAGAGATGTCAGTAAGAGCTCTGCATTCAGAAGAAATCAGCCTCTGACATAAAAAGGTGAATATGCATATTTACATTGTTGTGGTTGGGTGGTTTTTTTTAGTTTGATATTTCTTCTTGTCATTTAGTAAGGTTAGTGTTCCTAAAATGGCTTGCAGTGAATCAGGAAGCACTAATTTTAATCATGCCACTGCCAGTGGCATTAAGACCCAAATATCTATTAATAACCACTACTGCAACTCCCTGGTTCAAAATTCACAGCTTTCCTGAGGGGTTGTACAAAGTCTCTGCCTAAATACCAGTGTGTCTGCTGTCACCAGCTGGCTGTGCTGCAGGAACCTTTGGGGAGAAAGTGGAAGCAGCAGAGCTGTTGTACTTGCTTGGAAGCTTACCAACACTCACTGGAAATCAAGGGGTTTCTTAGATGTCCAGATCTGTCTGGTTCCATTGCTTCACTACAGCTCACAAGGGCCATGATGATCCTCAGCTACTCAGTGTAGGCATTTCAGCAGTCTTCACTGCGATAGTTTTGGTTTAATCATGTACCCCAAGCCCTTTAAACACAGTGCTGCCTACCCGCTGCTGGGAAGACGGAGCTCTTGCCTCCATTGCTAAAGCACCAGAAAGAAGTTCCCATTACACATAAGGACCACAGCCATTACTAGTTCTTCCTTCGTGCACGTTAATGTCTTTGTGCACTTGCCTGGTCATCACTTCAGCTCTGTCCTACAGGGCCATAGTTCATCAGGGGTTTGGGGGAACTATGGCCAGGCTGTGATTCTGAGGCACCACCATCATACAGATAAAAGATTCGAGCTTTTAGTAGTGAGTCCTTTGCCTTACAGTAAAACAGCCTGTCTTTTAAAGCATGATATTAGGCTTCTGGCATTTGCTTTCACAGCAAGGTCCTGCTTCAAACAGCCAGTGCATTGGGTCACAGGGATCTTGCTGGTTCCCCGTTAATCTCCAACACAGCCAGTGGGAAAGGAGGATGAGCTTTCAATACTGCCTTTCAGGATCTTGCCAATAGAGAGGGGGAAGTGTCATCAGTCCTATGGAAAATTCCACATTTAATGGAGATCAAGCTTTTTTAAAAAATATATATATATTCTTTCTTTCTTTTTTCTTTATTATAATTTTCCCATATTGTCTCAGCCATAGCCAAACAAGCACCTAGATGTTACTTGGAAAAATCATCAATAGACCCCAGGTTCTGACTGGTTTTATACTATTTTCCTGGTCAGATTAACAGTATCTACATTTTTTTATCCCCTGGCTCATCCTTTGAAATGCATAGGGCAGGATTATACTCTGCTCAGATCGGTTTAGTATTCCTCAGATATTCAAGGTAATTGTAACACTATTATGTACCAAAAAGGCAGAAAAAAGTTATCTTAGAAAATGCTATATTTTCCCACTGGAGAACATGCTGACTTTGGAGGAGAAAAAAAAAATAAGCCTTTCATTAGTCAAGATGGAACTTTACAGTTCCCTGAGTTTAGAAGTGACTTTATGTTTACAAACGTGCTTTTAGCTGTTATAGAAAGTAAATAGTCTTATTAGCTTCAATCTGTTCCTTAATAGAGCTGACAACATCTTTGTTCTTGTGCTGTTTTGAAATTAAAAGAAGTGTGGAAAAGTAGGAATTTCCCATGGATGGGATATTTCCGATTTCTATCTCTTTTCACAGTGAAGGAATAAATGTCATCTCTAATTTACTTCAGCATATACCATGAAGATGAGCGTATCCCAGTCCCCAGTGGAGATGGTTTACCATATAGTTCTGCATGACTGTTTCCATGGTTCTAGTGCAACTTTTTTCTGCAGATCCCTTAGTCTTTGGTCATTCACAAGGAAAAGGAGTTCATTTCCCAAGCCGTTCTTGGCCCGAAGTGATTAGGTGTGCTCTCAGTTTCAGCAAGCATAGGAAATTACTTCCACTCATAAAATTTGCCTTGTCAGACAAAAATAAATATTTAGAAACCAGAAGGTTATTTTTAGGTTTTTAAAGTCCAGGTTAAGTTCATAGAGTTGGCAGTTAGAAAAACTGGCCTGTTAAACTTACGTATGGCATTAAGGATTGAAGTCCTTTAAAGAAATAATCATAATGATATTTATGTTTCTGGACAGTTTTTAGTAAAATTCAGATAGAAACACCTTCTTAAATGTACTAGATGGCATCCAAATCTAAGAAAGCTATAGTCCTGTCTCTAAGAATTACACTGCGAATAGTTGCCAGGTTGCTTTTCTCTGAGGCACTTTTTTGTAGTTTCTAAGCTCACAGTAAAGGTAAGATTCTTTTCCTGGACCTTGAAGGTAATTTGACGTTAAGTAAAAGTGAGATACTAGTTTTACTTATCATTGCCTTGTTTGTAAAATGGTGAAAACCTTCCTCTTGGTGAATACCAACAGTTCTGTCCATGTATTGAGTAACTGGCACCTTTAACACTGTTTAAAGCCATGAGCATTTAGCCTTCTTTCCAAACGCTCCTAAGTCCCCCTCTTGGCAGTTGGGAACAGGCCAGATCTTGCAAAACTGCATGCTGTGCTCTCTGACCTTACCTGCCCTCAGCTGTGCTCTTCCTGCCTTGTAGTGTCAGTTCAGCGGGGCTCTGCAGACACATGTTCAGGAACGTAGGGCCTGTGTTGTCAAGCCCTACTAGCTCAGCCCACCCCTGCTGTAGCCAGCCACAGGCAGTGGCAATATGATTGTGATAATTCAGGGCAGTTCATGATCAACCTCACAGAAAGATCACCAGAACTACTGGGGTCTGAATTATTTTTTATTTTTTTAATTTTTTTTTTCTTTCCTTTTTCACCAGAATTTATGTGAGCAACTATGTACCCACTTCATACAAGGGGGAACCATGAATTTTACCAGGGAAAACAATGGTAAGAAAAGATACTCGCTGAAGGTCTTTCCGGGATTTCAAGTGTTGTGCTTAAGAAAATGTAAACAGATCTCTCTCTCTTCCCCCTTTCTCCCTGCCCAACTCATTGAGAATCTAAGAGCAGCTAATACAGGTTTAGATCTATTGGTATTTCAAGGCCTTTTACCCTGGGTTTATAGGAGTATATCTAATACACAGTATAGCACATTGCAGTAGCTATTAATGAACTAGCAGCCTGTAGATATATTCTAGCATATGTATTTTACTTCAGGTGAACATCTGTAAGCAGCATCTTGCAAACATCTTGAGCGACTAAGACTGAGATGTTCTGACAGTATTCTAGGAAGATAAAGTTTAAGCCCGTTGCTGCAACTTTGACTTTGCAGATGGTCCCATGGCTGAAGGAACACTTTCCAGGTGCTGTGTGTAGCACTGGGTGCAGTGGATGTAATAGTCAAGCCATTGCCATCATGACCAGCGTGCTTCCAACAGCAACCACCTCCATCCTCCTGTCCCAATCATTCCAAGAGCCTGGACAAGAGGGTCCTACACCTTTGTACAAGGGGTGCCTCAGGAGACTTGCACATGTCCAGCCACTCATTCTGCTGCAAACATCAGCTGCTATCAGTCCAAATCTCAATAAAGAAATGCACACACAAAATTCCTGTGCAAAAAGAAAATACTGCTGATGCAAGAACTCTTGTAAATATTCAGGAGCTCCATCTGCTGGCAGTATTTGGTAGCTGTTTGCATCTATACTGGGTCCGCACAAAACCTTAACAGTTTAAAGTCTATTGTAAAGCTTACAAATGTGTTTGTAATATTACCTTTTAATTCCAGGAGCTGCCTAAACATCTGGCTAATTTTATGCTTGTTTCCAAGAATCTGTGTATCAAATACTTCAAAACCCAATTTTTTACTGATACTGGCTGATGATCTTGGTATAGGAGATGTGGGTTGCTATGGCAATGATACAATAAGGTAAGAATATTATCCCTTCCTGGTGAATTTCAGTGGAGAAAAAAAAAACCCACTGATGGTACTTAGCGTTAGTGAATTCATTATTAATGGATTAATTTATCTAGATACACTTCTTTTCAAACCATGTGCAGTAATTCCTACTGGAGTAATAATTATACAGGCATGTTTGAGCAACCTCCTTGGACTTCTAATCTTCAGCATATACAGTCAGAACTTTGCAAATGTGTCCATGCACTGTGTTTGTCAGACATGTGTATAATTCATAAGTTTTCACAGCTTCAGTGTTGAAATATGAAGGACTGAAATTAGGATTTAATACCAAACAACTCCAGTAGGCTTGTGATGAAGTGAAAGCTCAGTCTATGTGCTATATTTATCCCTAGTGTATTTATCAATCTGTATATAGATTGATTGATGGAACCATTTTGTATATATATATATATATATATATATATATATATACACACACTGTGTTTACTCTAACCTATTATAGTCTTAGAAATTGTGTTTACTGTATCTATTAATGGAATCTTTTTCACTATGCTGAGGTTTTGATATTGGATAGAGTTGAAATACCTTTTTTTTTTTTTTTTTTTTCCCTTTTTAGTTATTAATAAAGCCACATCTATCCGTGGAAAAATTCATTCCTAGGGAGTCAAGATATCTCAAAATATATATACCAGAGCTTTCTTAATTGAGTTGTAGATAAACAGAATTTTGTAAATTTGATGGTAATGTCCTTGACAAAACTAAGAGGAGCAGGATACAACAAACTTCTCTGTAATGCATTTTTATCTGAGATGGGATTTTTTTCTTTAGGACCCCTAACATTGATGGCCTGGCAAAGGACGGAGTGAGATTTACCCAGCACATTGCTGCAGCTGCTGTCTGTACTCCAAGCAGAGCGGCTTTCCTGACTGGCAGATACCCTATCAGATCAGGTTAGGCCTCTCTAACACTTCACTGCAGTTTGTCTAGCCATTGTTGCTATTAAAAATCCCCTTAAATAAGCCATTCTAAAAACTAGTTAATCAAAGGTTTTGGGGTCTCAGCAAGGTGGGCAGAAATAACAATGACTAGATTTAGTGATTGATTTCTATGGGAAAATCCCTACATAAAAAAACACTCAATGTGCCTAAATGACAATGCAGAAATGGATGAAAAACCAAAAAGCTCAAAGCACCCAGAGGTAGAAACATGAAGAACAAAAAATGTGTAAACACTGTATGTTCAATGGTATTAAGATTATATTAAGTACATTGTAATATTTCTAATATCCTGACAAATTTTTCATAGTGAAATGTGTCAGACTGTGGAATAGTTCTCAACAGTTGTCTTAAAACAGATTTACTTCAGCCATGTAAATTCATGACAGAAAACTTCAGCTACTGCATATGGCAGTAATAATCACAGAATCACACAGAACCATTCAGGTTGGAGAAGACCCTTGGGATCATTGAGTCCAACCATCAGCCCTACTCTATAAATTTTTCCCCTACACCGTATCCCCCAACATCTCATATAAATGATCCTTAAACACATCCAGGGATGGTGACTCCACCAACGCCCTGGGCAGCCTATTCCACTGTCGGACCACTCTTTCTGTGGTTTGTTGTTTGTTTTTTTTTTCCCTAATGCCCGGTCTGAACCTCCCCTGATGAAGTTTAAAGCCGTTCTCTCTTGTTCTATTGCTAATTACCTGTGAGAAGAGACCAGCACCAACCTCTCTACAATGTCCTTTCAGGTAGCTGTAGAAAGTGATGAGGTCTCCCCTTAGTCTTCTCATCCTCAAAGTAAACAGTCCCAGCTCCTTCAATCGCTCCTTAAATCAGTGTAGCTCCTCTGATGGGATTCTGACTTGCTACAAGAAATTCAATCATGAACTGTACATTTCAGAAGTGTGTACCCCTGACTCTGTAAGCCTTCTATTCTATATAAAACTTCTTTTTTGTTGCTTTTTCCCCTTTTTTTAACATTATATTTTGATAGAACTTTGGTTGTAAGAGGTTGCCTAATGTACAAACAGGCATCTTAGTGCCATTTGTAGACACCCCAGTATAGCTGAGGCATCTGTATCGGGTTAGCAAATGATGATGTGGGATTGGAGAATACATTGTTCTGAGGATCAATCAGAATATCCCAGGGCTTACTCAATGGCTTCTTAAAAGGCACTAGGCTTGGGCAGCTGAGTCCCTCCCATTCATTAGAAAGAACATTCTGAGAAGACTGAAAATCTGAAAACTGGCTTGTTTAATTTTGAAGACTGTTGTTCCTCTCTAGGCATGGCATCCAGCACTCAACGGCAGGTTCTCTTCTGGAATGGGTGTTCTGGTGGACTCCCACCAAATGAAACTACTTTTGCTAGAATACTGCACCAACAAGGTTATTCTACAGCACTTGTCGGTATGAGACATAGCAACTTGCCACCTTTTGATTGCTTGTTATTTAAATGAGATGCTACTGTAAATATTTTTATTTGCCAAAATGTCTAGTACCTGTTAAACTAGAGTTTCTTGCATGCATAACTTTCAAACTCAGAGGGATTTTTACAATGCCATCCATAAGCCCCACTGTCAGCACAGCATATCTGATAAATCCAAAATGAGGTTGTATGGAATACATAGATGTACACTGCAAACAGAAGTAAATGCAGAGGAAAGAATCTTGTTTGCCCAGTACAGATTGCTTTAGGAAGAACTAACAGAGATATTCATTGATCTATTAGAGCAGAAAAATATTGTCTGCCAGTTGGTACCCAGACACCACAGTGGTCTTAATTATGTTTGGTGGCTAGATTTTCTGTTATTTATGCATCCTGCTTGTTATCACAGTTAAGACTCTAAAAGTGCCATATTTTCTGCAAAAAAAGCAACTCTGCCAAGAAAAGCTGAAATTCCCATTGACTTTAGTGGGTTTTGGATCAGAATACATGTCCAAAAAATAAAATCCTATTAACTTTGCTAATATTGCCTGAACACCAAAAGGTGTCATGTACTTAATTGTAACTACTGTGATTTTCATACCTCTGCTTGGCTTCAGCACACTGAGGTGTTACTTAGTTCCTTAAATTGAAATTAGTCTTACTGATGTCCTGACTGCACCCAGGCCTGTGCAAAGGGGGGAACTTTCCGTAGCTCAGTGCAGTCTGGTAAAGCTTATACTGGGAATTACACTGGGAACTACATTCATATACATGAGCACAGAGCTGGTTAGCAGTTCTTCGAAGATATATGTCTAGCTAATAGCCCCTAGGCCCATGGTTATAGACTGTCAGACCTTCAATGTCAGGATAATTACACTGCTCTGTCATATGACTTCATTAAGACTCATTATCGGTAAATGACATATTCTGATATGTCTAGTTGTATGGGATATTTGGAATGGCCTATTTTTGCTACGCATTTGAAGATGAATATAGACACACAGAGCCAATATGTACACCTTCTTCCTGAAATTTGTTCTTGGACTGTGAAGGCCAGATAGAACTTGTGTGTGAATTGGTTCATACTTTTTCACTTAGCTGGTTCTTTTGGCACAAGTGTTTCTCTGGTTTCTCCCCATCAGACTACCTGTTGATGAAAGACTACTTTTATCATATGAAAAATAATAAGCACCAAATGTTTCAACCCTATTTGTTCTTATTCAGGGAGGCGTCTGAGCTGGACTGTTGCCTCACATGGAATTTTAACGGATAAGTGAGGAATACCAGCTGTTCTAGCCAGATAAAGTGCCAGTGCACAATTGCTTCCTGAGAGTCTGTCCCCATTCCACACCAGCTCCTCCCCTGGCTGCACCTTAACTGAGGAGTGCAGCCAACCTATTAGAAATACAGGCAGACAAATCTGAGAGTCATGATGTTGGACTTAAGATCTTTGTTTTATATTTTCAGGGAAGTGGCATTTGGGTATGAACTGCAAATCCCGCCGTGATCACTGCCACCATCCTTTAAATCATGGCTTTGATTATTTTTATGGCATGCCTTTTACCCTGTTAAATGAGTGTCAAGGCACGGACGACCCTGAACTGGCCAAGTCTTTGCAAGATACGTATTGGCTTTACACACAGATGATTAACCTTGCAGGGCTTACTCTTTTGATTGGAAAACTTACCAATTTATTCTCAGTAAAATGGAAAATAATTATATGTCTTGCTATCTGTGGTCTCCTATATTTCATCTCCTGGTTCTCCAGCTATGGTTTCACCAAGTACTGGAACTGTATCCTGATGAGAAACCATGATATCACTGAACAACCAATGAATCTAGAAAAAACTACTTCTAATATGCTGAAGGAGGCAGTTTCATTCATTGAAAGGTAACCAATAAAAATGGTATTGAGTTTTAAGGATTTTTAAAAATAATGTTATTACTGCATTAGGCAGATGACATGCTGAACTTGATGTTGGCCAGTAATTTGTTTTCTGGCATTCCCCTCCCTGTCAGCATCCAACTCCTGTCCTTCATCTTATACACAGCTTGTTAGCTCCTCAGGAAAAGGAAGATTATTTTTTTGGTGTTTGTTTTGTTCATCTAATATAAAGGTGTACTGGCCAAGGACTGGGCTTTCTGCCGTCAGGAACAGAAATATGTTCTTAGCCTGATGAATGGACTGTCATAGAAAGTGTCACATGAAGTTAATATTTTACAAACAGGAGGGTGATAGTGAGTCTTGGTTTGTTTTCCAAAGGTGTCCTTCATTTACAATACTGTCAGTAACCTCAACTGGAATTGAACAAACCACCAAGTCTTTAAAAGTATTCATGCATCAAGTCTGGGCATATCCTTGAATAAGATTATACTATTTCTGTCAGGGTTTAGGGGTTGGTTGGTTGGGGGGGGGGGGTTTAAGGCAAATTGAAGGTAGAATAAATCCCTTCCGCAAAACTTTGAGCACAGATAATCTCAGGTTCCTAGGGTATTCTGCCTGGCCTGATGTTAAAGGAATATGGTTCCCCTGTGGATGCGGCATCATATCTGCCTCTTCCATGAGGATGTCTCAGATACTCAGTGACATCCTTGTTTAAGTTTAAGCAAGTGATTCCTATTCTTCTTGCCTCTGAGAGTGTGTCAGTCTTCTGGCTATGAACTTTACTAGTTATTTATTTAATGTTCTACACATGTCTAAATTGGAACCAGAAAAGGGCCTATTACTATTTTGGTCTTAATACAAAACCAACATGTTTGGGGGGTATTTCAATCTGGTCTGTCTCCCAAGACCTCAAAAATGCAAAGAAGTCAAAATCAAAAATTTTTGGTTTAGAACACAATAATAATTTTTGTTGAGATAGTCACTACAATACCACTGTTACATTTTGGATTGAGAGACAGTTTGCAGAGAAATGACTATTGTTTTCTTTTATTTCAGAAACAAGAATAGACCATTTCTTCTCTTTGTTTCCCTTTTGCATGTTCACACCCCTCTCATTACCACTAAGAAGTTTCAGGGAAGAAGCAAGCATGGCCTATATGGAGATAACGTAGAGGAGATGGACTGGATGGTGGGTAAGTGTCTTTTTGAAGAAAATACTTCATTTATTTGAACGTGGAAAAGAAATTAAAGGGGTGGTCACAGAACTCCCTTTTTGCCTATGTCAAAAATCAGTGAACTTGGATACACATTTATATACAGAGATTGCCATACCATTACCACACCTCTTTTTTTGTTTAAGATGAAAGTTCAAACTATTCTTGTGAGGATTTGTTCTTTTTATTTTTTAATTTGCACACTTCTGTGTTGCAGTGTTAAATGCTGTCAAATAATCAAATATGTGCTTGATCATGTTGTTCATCAAAATGTGTGACATTTCTCCAGTTCTGTCTAGTCTCAGAAGATATAAGTCGTGGTGCTGCTGAATATTACATTATACTATGGTTGTTTTGTGTACTTGTTCATTTTTATTGAAGATTAAACCTTGGAGCAGAAACCAGAACTCCCTCCTAGACAAAAGGCCAAGTTTAAAAGCTATGGAGTTTCACTTAATAAATAGTGTGAAGTCAGTACATCGTGAAGACTCACTTAGGTCTAAATCTAGGCTTTGAGTGCCAACTGGGTTTAAAAAGGCCTAGATTTAGCCTGCCTAGATTTAGCCTTACTTAGTCATTCTTCTCTGCTTCAATAGGAGGGAGGGACATACTGTTTGCATTTAGTCAAAAGTGAAGATCCTACTGACCAAGTATTCCCCTCCTATCCAGGCCAAGATTTAATTCCTGAACCTTTTCTTCCTCTAGTAACCATGTTTACAAAATTGTATTTTGAGAGGAGCCTGATGCTTCTGATGGGCAGGCTGAGAACTCGTGCAAGATCCAGTTGAACGAGAGGACTCTGCTGCCATGCTCCTCTTCCAAATTTTTGGCACCAGACACCTTCAGGCACAGGATACGCAAGCAGAGCCGCGGGTAGCAGAAGTCTGATGGTGTAAGGAATGCCTTATAAAGGCCAAACAGGATGGGAGCTAGTGAGGACAGAAGTGTCTGGGGTTGGACAGCTAAGTCTCAATCTAAACTCTTTTTGGGGGAAGGTGTCTATTTTGAGGTAAGGTAAATAAGTAGTTTGACCAAGGAGACACAGGAAGTCTGTAAAGGAGAAGAGATTGAGCAAAAGAACTGATCACTGGCTTATGCTTTTTGCTTGAGTACTTCAGCTTTTGCTGCTGCTTCTGTAGCTATGGAAGCTGTTCTTAGTGAATATATTTGATGCAGAAAGTGATGAGGACAAGCAATCAAAGATAAATCATATTCCATATAAACATTTGATGCTATCAGTAGCAAAAACATTCTTTATGAAGTTAGGTTTGAATTACAGTCTGTGAAGTTTTTACCAATGACATCAGGAGATTTTGGTTGATAGTATGCAGCCTGATCTCAGAGTCCCTGTTCAGCTCCTGATGAGGCACAGCAGTTTTCTATGATTAGGAATCTAGGCAGCACTATTATTTAAGCTTTTCAAGATGCTTGAAGCTAGACAATAGAGACAATCCTCGACCCAGAGAATTTATAGCATAAAGCTGACAGTGTGTTCTGTGTAGTTTGAATAAAAAGGTCATTCATTTAAATTATTTTCCAATTGGTTTTTTATTTTCCTGTTTTTATAGACACCACAAACAAATTTTTGACACATTCAGCAGCTTTCTGTTGGGCTCTCATTATTTCTGTAATGCAAGATTACTCTTTGCACTACTTGTGGTAGCTCATAACATAACTCGTTCAGGTAAATGGAGAACTCAGTCTTCACTGAATTTTGAGTCAAGACCTAAAAATGCTGACTGCATCTCCAAACATAGTTATGATGTTTTGCTTTGCTTATAGGCAGGCTTCTGGATGTTATTGACAAAGAAGGCTTGAAGAATACCACGTTTATTTATTTTGCATCTGATCATGGAGGATCCTTGGAGTCTCACAGAGGAAATGCTCAGTTTGGTGGATGGAATGGAATCTATAAAGGTAAAATTTTGGTCATGTGTACATGCATAAGACTTCCTCTTAAAAATAAAATGATAGAATAAAACACATCTGAACAGACTATATTTACTAAACTATATGCTGGGATGATGGTCTTGGATTGTAGGGCTGGAGAAAATTCAGGACATCAGCTATTCATCTTTCAGCCCTCAGACACAGTCACTTTCACCAAAGCTACTCATGACAGTTATGTTGTCTAAATTTTTCTTAAAAACCTTCAGTGATTCTCCAGATAATCCAGTTTTGCTACTATTATACAGTCTATGCTGCTGGAGGTTTTTTCCTGGTACCTACCTTGGATTTCCTCGCTGCAGGTTAAGCAACAGATCTTGCCCTATTTGCCAATCTACAGACAAGATTCTTCCTTTTCTACTTGCATCACCCTGTTGTTGCAATGTCATCATGTATTTCAGTGCTGTTATGTTCCCCATTGTTCATCCTCTCTTTAGACTCCAGTACCTTTGTACCCCCTTCTAGTTTCATGTTGTCTTTAAATACTGTAACCATACCATATCTAATCCATAATCCAAAGCACTACTTGAAAATGTTGTAGTATCATAGAATATCTCTTGGAAGGGACCCATAAGGATCATCAAGCCCAACTCCCTGCTCCTCACAGGACTACCTAAAACTAAACCATATGACTAAGGGTGTCATCTGGACACTTCTTCAACTCTGACAGGCTTGGTGCCATGACCACTTCCTGGGGAGCCTGTTCCAGTAACCCACCACCCTCTCAATGAAGAACCTTTTCCTAACGTCCAACCTGAACTCCCCCTGATGCAGAACCAGAACACACTGTTTGGAGTCTCACTTGAAACATCCTTCTCTTTTTCACAGTAGATAATTATCTATATCAGCACTGGAAGATACCATTTTCTTACTATTTTCTTAATACAGTTTTCCAGTTTCTTGTCTATTATATAGATGTTTGTAGACACTCTTTCTATGACTGGCTTGCAACACAGTGTCAAAAACTGTGGAAGTGATCTATGGTATTGCTTGTGTGTGCTTTCTCCAGACTGCCAAGCCGTGAAAAGCCACTGTGGCAGCTTGGCATTTACTGTATAGCGAAGGCTTAAAATGGCTCCCATCACTTATTTCTCCACAGAGGAAGATTCAGGTGCCTTGACCTTGCTCAGCATCAAAATGCACATTCTCTAATAGTAAGTTACCTGATGAGCCACAAATAAGCAATGTTTAATACAGCTGGAATCTCATCCAGGGACAATCCTAAATTAGCCTTCAATTCTGAAGTTTCCATACCAGTAGCAGATGCAAAAAGGCCAAAGAGTTCACTTCAGTACCTCAGAACATAACTTAATGAATGCACCTCTACTAACCTAACACAAGTATATTAGTAATGAGAGAGTCCAGAGAGGAAAGGTGGATGTGATTAGGCAGAGATTTCAGTATGAAAGGACAATGATGAAGTCATGCCTGCTCAAAGAGGGGACAAGAGGAGATATATCATCAATTTAGTTATTAACAACAGAAAGGTATTCCCATTTATGTCCAGATACAGCAGAAAAAGGGACATCCTAGTGAAACTAACAAGCAAGGTTAAAAATAAAAACTAGTTTAATTCATAAATATTGGTAGAACTCACTGCTGCTGTTGCTAACAGGATATTAAAAACAAGAAGATAGATAAGCCACGTATACAAATAATGAGAGCAGCCAATAGTGAATAACAAAGCATGAGATACTGTTATCTTACATAGCACAAAGATTACTGCACGAGCCACTGGACTTGCCCTGTTTATAATCCACCATGCCACCCTGTCAGCCTTTAAAGCTTCTAAAGCTCTGGCACCTTGCTTCTCTGCTGTAGCTATGAGTACATCTTCCCCACAGCAAAGTCTGGCATTACTTAGCAAAGCCAGAGGCTAGTATAAACTACAATTCAGGGGCTGATTTATTAGCTGAGCTGATAAGCTAGATTCAACTTTTGTTTGCCAACTTTCCTATAACACTTTCCAGCAATGACTTGTTATCTCTGCCCTTGATAGGAGGAATAACAGAGCAAAGGTCATATAGGTACCTGAGCTTCATCCTTCTGCAATTTTTATTTCTAGCTGGATGCTCAGCTTGGAGTTCTGGCTTTAAACCATATTTTTTCATTAATATTCCCAGCCTTGACATCTATAATTCATATCTGTGATTAGTTAATGGTTCTCACTTTGATATGCTATTCAAAACAATGAATAATTTGACTTGCAAGAGAGACAATGCATGGAGCAGAGAATTTAGAAGACTGGAGGAATGCAAGAGAGAAACTAAGTTAAGAAAGACTCTGGATTACCTTATGACAACTTCAGCAGAAATGTAGATGGAAAGTCTTCATCATTGCAGCATATTCCAAGCCTATTTACTGCACACGTTCTGCACCCTTCCATTCGGGACCACCTCAGAGCATCCCTGGGACTGTAAACTCCTTGAGGGTGATCAAATGTTATTCTAAGTGCCCCCACTTCTCTCCAGGACTGAAAACAATTTTGTAATGTTCCTGCTGCCTCTGACAGAACTGTCTGACAACCAAGCTTGCCCTCTGTTAATCTCCCTTCCTTGAGTACCAAGTGGGGCTGCAGCCTCTACTCCATTGACACCAAGTCAGATTTTGGTTTTTATTAATAACGGACTTTTTTCTTGGGCAAGTTATTAGGGAGTGTGGAGATTATTCTTAGACATGACATTCAATTAAAACTGTGGGTCAGAATGTCAGATGGTGAAATTGTTCCTCTTCTGCCTAATAGTGGGTTGCTGTACATGCCACCCAAGAAAGCAGTATAAAATAGAGGTTAATCATACATATTTTTGAACAACAGAATTCACACTGTAGTCATTCTACTGTTCTCCAGGATTTAGTGTGTTTTCATTAAAGTTATTTGAATATTCTAAAAGTTTTAAAACCTTTTATTATACATTTATAATAAAAGAATGAAAGATACTAGATGTTTATCTTTTTTGGTACTTCCCCCCCGCCCCCTCCCCCAACAGGTGGAAAAGGAATGGGAGGCTGGGAAGGAGGGATCCGTGTCCCAGGAATTGTTCGATGGCCAAGAGTGTTGCCTGCAGGGGCCGTTATCCATGACCTGACAAGCCTTATGGACATCTTCCCAACAGTAGTTAACCTGGCTGGAGGGGTGGTGCCTCAGGACAGGTACAAAGGTGGCTTCATAAACCATATTTTCTCCCCTTTCTTGATTTAGAGATAGCCGGCTATGTATGTCATGTATCCTAACAGCCACAGGTTAAATTCTGTTTGTTTCTTAACCAGGTAGTTCTCTGGCTTTCTTTCTGTGTAGCTTTCCCCATCTTGTCTGCTTATATAGAAAAGGCAAAGGAAAACAGTATGTTTTATCAAGGGTTGTTTAGCTAATTCAGTTTTCTCGTTACCAAAAGCCAACCTGGTTGATTTGGGACACTGGGATGACTGTAAAACACAAAACAACACCAAACAAAAAAAATCCTCTTTTAATCTTATTTTTTATGAAAAATCCACAGATATTCACAAAGCTGGGTGGTCCTGTTAGAGTACTAGCACAGGCCCTTTCCAAGATTAGAAAGCCTGGTTCTTCAGGAGTAGAGAAGGTGGAACAAATGGCACATGGCCTGCATTTGGCTGTCAATACTGGAGAAGTAGCTTCCTCAATGGTAAACAATTCGTAACACCTATGTTAGACTTCTCTAAAGAGCATGAGAAAGTAAAGTGTGGGTGGCTAAGTCTTCTGAGCAAAAAGCATAAGAAGTACTGGTGGTGTGTAATCAAACCGCTAGTCAATGCAGCCAGTGGGTTGGTTTGATGTTTTTTTTAATGAAGCCTCGAGCTCATATAGCCATCAGTAACTTTCATTTCAAGGAGAAAATTAGAAGCTGTGAACAATGCCTTCAATATGGTTATCACTTACTTCCAGGAAAATTACAGTAATGGTAACTTGCATCCCCAGGCAGGATGGGTGAACTAGCTGTAATTGCAAAAACTGCTAGTAACTGCTAATCACTGGTCTCCACTCATCCACACAATTAAAAATCTCAGGGCTCATTAGCTAAACAGTGTCTTGGGTTAGAAATGACACTTGAAACCCTAATGTTGCATACATAGGGAGTGAGTACTGCTCATGCTCCACCTGCAGACTGAAAATTCTTAAGCAGCCTGGTGACTCCTGTCCTCTCTGTCAGGGTAATTGATGGGCGCACCTTGTTACCTCTGCTGCGGGGGACAGTTCAGCGCTCCGGGCACGAGTTCATGTTTCACTACTGTGGTGTGTTTCTGCATGCAGTGCGGTGGCACCAAAAGGACAGTGAGTATGAATATCCCCCCTCCTGCAGATCAGAGATGATGTGATGACCTCTAGCTCCAACAGAGTATCACGTAAAAACATATGTGCATGTATTGAGTAAGTTTGTTGCCTCAGATGCTCACTTCTTCTGTAAGGTGCAGAAAGGCTTTGTTGTTAGCTGTCTTGTCTTGCCCGAGATGAAGGGTTTCGCTTCCCTGGGTAGCATAGCTTCAAGAATCTCCCTGTCGTTGCAGTGTTGCTTTTGGTTTTGCTGCAAAAACATTCTGGATCGGCTTTAGTGTAAGATTGACCAAAAAGGAACTGCACACACAAGGTCTTTATCTTAAGCAGTAGTTCATTTGTTTTCAGTAGCCCTCCCTTATTTGTTTCACTTTTTCAGCTGTGACATTAGACGAGCTGACTGCAGCTATAATGCTTTCCTGAGCTTTCAACAAGCACCCAATCTTCACTAATGTCACCTCCATTACTGTGTAAAAGAGAATGGGCCAGTGACTCGTGCCTGTGTTCTTATTCCTGCTCAGAATAGAGGATGGCATTTGCATGACCAAGCACACATGCCTTGATCTGAGCTTGTTGTTTTATAGTCACTGAAGATGTTTACAGGATGCGATTCACCTCCTTCTGATTAGCACATCTGGGCTCGATCAGTGATGCCTTTTTCTCTCCACTGACTAAAAAGGGATCTGAGGATGACCATATCAAATATAAAAATCACACTCATATTGAAATTAGTTGAGATGAATTGCAACTTCTGTGACTGGATGATGTGACAGTAAGTGTAAAGTTGATGAATTTGTGGTGATACTGTGCTCTTTTATTTTTTTTCATTCTGCACATCTGGAGAAATGCAGAGCTGATGGAGTGGGCTATGCCTACTCATTTTCCCATCTCTTAGAAACTTGAATGAGCCCCCTTCATTTTTGTTTTGCTTTCCCTGTCTGAAGTGAGAGGAGAATTAGGGCAAGAGTCTTGAGAGGCTGCAATTAAGTAACAGTTACAAATGCTAGAGCATTCCCCCATCAGCAGCTGTTCACACTCAGCTGGTATGTTGACAAGGAGCTGGCTGTTCAAAGACAACTTGGAGTGCTGACTAGGGGGTGGGATAACCTTATGCAGCCCAGCAGGAAATCCTTTTTATGTCATAGTGTGAATTGGGTGATCTGTCTCATGCCCAGACACATTTCCTTTATGATACTTTCTGATACAATGACAATATTAAGTGTATAGATAGTATCAAGCCAAGAATCTACTTGCTCCATGAACACCTGAAGGCTACAAAACTTACTTCTACTTGGAAATACTTCTCACTGATCTTTCTGTTCCCCTATGTGGAACTGATCTTTCTCTTCCCCATCTTGTGTGTGTGTGTGTGTGTGTGTCAGGATAATGGCCAGGAAGTTTGCTGTCTTTCTTGGTGGCATGAATAAAATACATACCAGAATTGCAACACTAAACTTTTAGTCATGCTCCCACAGTTTAACCTTGAGGTCAGTGCCCTCAACACACCACGTTTGCCAGAAGCATAGCTCCTGGGCAGGAGGTCACTGCACTTGGCTGACAGGAAAGAGGGAGGAAAGGACTAAATGTGAGGATGTGATGCTGTGGTAGAATTTTAGTTTTAGGTTCTTGTTCCCCAAAGATAAATCTGGGTACTTCATTCAAAGAAAAATGTGTAAACTATACAAGTCATACAGTACTTGAGGAGCTAATCCCTTCAGGGTGAGATCCAGAGTAACCCCCACACTGCTGAAGCAGCTATATGGTAGAAAATGTTGGGTGTTTCATAAACCCAGTTCTTCCACGGGGTGGAGCTTCTTCAAGCCTTCCAGGGAAGGTTTTGTTTGGTTTTTTTCTCTTGGTAATCCTCATTCTCTGTTTTCTCTGGAGAGAAGATGCTGACAACATTTTTCCTAGTTCTTAAACAATACTTGATTTGGGGGAAAAAAACAAACAAAAAACAAACAAACAAAACAGTGCTGCAACTAGCCCTCTTCTGCCTTGTTAGCTGAATGATAGGGCCTTCACAACCCTCGTGGGGCTGCTGCCATGGGGCAGAACTGCTGCCGAGCTTGGCGCAGCCACAGGCAGGTGGTCCCGGTCTCAGGAGCTCCCTTGGCCTTGCTGCTTCCCCTGAGCTGGGGCGGTGGATGACCTGGTACCACCATGGCTGTGAAAGGAGGCGGTCCCAGGGAGGGAACCACACTTAAAGTGCTCAGGGCCAACATTTTGGCTGTCTCAACTGATTACTTATCTAAAGAGACCAGGACTCAATTCTTTCCTGTGTTTAGGCACAATGAAAATATATCATCTTTAAGTCACATGTGTAATTTGCCGCTCTGCATCTTTGCTCTTCCTGTGGAAATAAAAAAAAAAAATAAAACCAACCCACCTAACCTAACCCTTTAAGCACTCAGTTTTGGTTAGGGGTTATGTCCCTCCACTGCTGTCATGGTGTCTTTTTTTAAGCAGCACATTAACATGATCAAAACACATAAAAACCCCCAGGAGATGGGGTACTCCCCAGGAGAAGGATCAGGGCCGGGCTGCAGGCGTGCTGGTGCGCAGCTCCCACCTCGCAAGGCACGGTGCTGGCCCCCGGCCCGCCGCCCCCCCAGC